ATAGGAAAGTGAGGTCAGATTCATTCCACTGTTCTTCCCTTATCCTGTTGCTCCTCCCTCCCCTCAAGTCCCCTTCCTCTACTACAATGATCTTTCTTCTACTTTGATGGACCCCCTCCCCTTTTTCTTTTCTTTATTTTGAACTAGCTCACTTGAGCATCTTATTTGTACTTCTGATTTGGGATGACTCACAATTTCTGTTGTTTTACTTATTAGCAATGCTGGCCAGGGAGGGGCAGGTATAATCTCTGAAACTGGCAGGATAATTTTTAACAGGTTTATTGTTGTAGAACTGACAATAAATCACACTTATTTAAAGTATACATTTTGAAAATATTTAACATACATATATACCTATGAAGCCTTTAACACAATTGAGATAATAAATATACCTATTGCTCCAAAAACTTTCCTTGTGCTCATTTTTGGTCCTTTTGTCCTACTTCATCGCTCATAACTCAAGATACCCTAACTATAGGCAACCAACTATGTTACCTATCATTTTACACATATTTTATAACATTACATAAAAAATGAATCATAAAGTGTACATCCTTTATGGCTGCTGTATCTGTACAAAGCAACTATTTTGAGATTCATCCACATGATTTATTAATAGTTTATTTCTCTTAATGCTGAACAGTATTCTGTGGAAGATATATCAACATTTGTTTATTGATGAACATTTATGAGGTTTTCCTATTTTAATTAAAAATAAAGCTGTGGGTTGAGGATATAGCTCAGGGATATAGCTCTTGACTAGCATATCCAAGGCCCTGATTCCATTCCCAGCACCACACACACACACACCCATAAAAATAATTAAAAAATAAGTTGCTATGCACATTCATGTGTAAGTTTTGTATGGACATATGCTTTTATTCTTCTGGCATATACTACTTATGAATGAAATGGCCAGATCGCCTGGTAACTGAGTGCATAACATGTAAAGGAACTGCCAGTTTCCCAAAGAGGTTGCTTCTTTTTTTCATCTCCACCAGTAGTAGGTTAGTGTTTCAGTTCCTTTACAACCATGAGCATATTTAGGAGGATTAGTTATTTTAATTTTAGCCCTTTAAGTTTGTGTATAATGGTATTACACTGCGCTCTTATTTGTATTTCTTTAATGAATAATGATGTTGATCACTTTTTTATGTCCTTATCTGTCACCATATATTTTCTTTACTGAAATGTCTTTTCAAATCCTTTCCCTGTTACCTTCCTCCTCTATTGGGTTGTTTATTTTTTTGTTATTAAATTTTCACAGATTTTTGTTTGTTATTTGGTTTTGGTACTGGCTATTCAACCCAGAGATGTTTACCACGTAGCCACATCCCTAGCCCTATTTTTTTTTTTAATTTTGAGACAGGATCTTAATTAGTTACTGATGCTGTCTTCAAAATTTCAAAACTCCTACCTCATCCTCCCAAGCCACTGGCATTACAGGAGTGTGCCACTGTGCCTAGCTAAATTTCGAGAGTTTTAAAATACCTTAGATATATTGCAGATTCAGTTCTAGGTCACCACACTAAAGCATATTATTGCAATAAAGCAAGTGACATGAAATTTTTTGCTTTCTCAGTGCATATACAAGTTATGTTTACACTATACTGTAGTCTATTGTACAATAATATTATGTCTAAAAAACAGTGTACATACTTTAATTAAAAAATACTTCATGGAAAAATGCTAGCAATCATCTGAGCTGTGGGAAAAAAAAATGGCTCTGGTAGATTTGCTCCAAGCAAGGTTTCCACAAACCTTCAATTTTTCAGAAATGCAATGTCTGCAAAGCACAATAAAGAAAAACACAATAAAAACAAATATGCTTATATATACATGTATAGTCTGGATACATGTTTTTTTATCAGAGATATGTTTTCAAAAATTTTGTTCTATTCTGTTCCTTTCCTTTTAATTTTCTTCACAGTATCTATTGAAGAGAAGTTTTTATTTTTTGCTTAAATTTATCCTTTTATTTTTTTTCTTGTATAGATCAGGAAGAATTAGAGTTTTCATAGCCAAGTGGACCATCACTGCTTGAATATTTTGCTCCAGGCTCTGTTTATCACCCCTAATTTTGTTTTTCTCACATTCCCTTTTACTTTCTTTTTTTGGTCCCCTAATAAAGAAAATAAGTTTAAAATAAGCTTAAAATAAAACGAGAAAAAATCAAGGGAGATCTAGGCACAATGGTACACACCTGTAGTGCTAGTACTTAGGACTGAGGCAGGAAGATCACTTGAACCCAGGAATTTGAGTTTAGCTTAGGACAACTTAAGAAGATCCCTCTCAAAAAGAAAAAAAGAAAAAGAAAATAAAAGAAGAGGAGGTTTGACAAATATTCCTGAGGCCATCTTAGCCTTCCTACTTAGATTATATTAGATAGTATGAGATTAGAGAAACAATAATTATTTAAGTTCATTTGATCATCTGTATGCTCAGAGCAAACACATATGAAAGAAAAAAAACTTCTTAATTGAACTAATAAGCTCTGAGAAATTCACAAATTGATAAAATCTCAGTCATACAAGAATGTTCCTCCAGAGCTCTTCTCTATAAAAATAGGGAGTGATGAGGCATGAAGCCAGGGGAGAGGGCAGGGTAACTATGAGGGGACTTAAGTCTGGCTTTTTCACAAACTAATATGAAATTAGAGAAAAGCCATCCCCAATTTTTTTTTAAACTTGTATTCTAGAAAATGTTTGTCTTACTGGTTGTTGAAAGAAACAATTTTTTGAAAAATCAACTACATAAAGGTTTTACAAAGGGGAAAAAACATTTTTTTAAAAGAAAAGATTGTGCTTTAGAAATTTTAATGGCTATAATTTCTATTATTAGATTTTTTTCTCATACTCTTTAGACAAACTGAACATTTCTATTAAGTCAAAAATGCTGTATCTTAATGTAGAGTTGTGTTGACACACTACCATTATTTATTATGTTTATATCTTTTCCAAAGCAATCTAATAATTTTCCTATCACTCTGACAAATTCAAACAATAAGAATCAGGTATTTAATTCATGTTTGTTTCTTTTTGTATCAGTTGACCTTAGCCTGAATACTGCAATATAGGGAACAAAATAATCACATGTACATATATTGTGAAAAAAATTATCATGTTTTAGAAACTCATATTCTGTGCAAATTTATTATTTACTGTGTTTGGTTCAAAGATTCATTGCTGAGAATAAGTTGTTAAGCCTAATGGTATGCTTTGTAATAAGTACCTAATAATGCAACTGCTTATTTGTTCCACAACAGTTAATTAATAACTAAAAATAAGGTTAAACTTAAAAAAGTAATTGTTTAGAAATAAAATTAAATTTAAAATGACATTTCCAAGAAAAAGTTTTTACATTAGAAAAAAGTGTAAATTAGTGGCATAATTCTACTAGGCATGGTTTAAAAATGTCCCTTCAATTAAAACTTAAACTATAGAATAGACTCATAATTACTTACATAGTTCTCTTCACTTATTTCTATTCATTGAGATAAATACTAAATTTAATTTCTCATTCTATTCTATAAAATATGGTTTTTGATAATCATACAAGGCTCTAGAATTGTTTTTACCAATGATTGCCCAATTTCTATTTGTTAAAAGAAAATAAAAGTGTAATAAAACTTTGAGAAATGAATTGGAGGAAGGAAAAATATGCTGAGTTTATAATGGACTGAAATGAGTAAGAACAGAGAATTTCTATTTTCAATTCCTTTTTTTGTGCTAGTGATTGAACCCAGGGGTGTTTAATCACTGAGCCAAATCCCTAGCCCATACACACACACACACACACACACACAC